ACACAACCTGTGTTTTTATAATAAGTATAATTCGATATGAGTTGTCCCCCTTTCATTCTGGCGAGAGAATCGTGCTTTCAAATTGATTTCGTGCAAAAACAATTGTGTTTTTCCAATTTTTGGCGCTGTCGGAACCACCGCAAGATAATTTTATGCAGTCCTGTGAAGTTTTGTTGAAATCAGTTGAAAAATGTAGAACATCCGATCCCATATATAAACGTACACACACACACACACACACACAATCTGCGTTTTATAATAAGTAAGATATATATATATATATATATGAATAGAATGAAATAGATCGATAAGACACTCTATGATATCTATCTATCTATCTATCTATCTATCTACCGCCCCTTATTAAAATGATTGATTTTCTCCGTTTCCATAGAAATTAATATTACGAATGTATATATTTATAAAGGTCTGTAAATTTCAAAATTTGTTATTCCAAAATTCGCTTGAGGATGAAACAGAAGTATGTACTTTAATTTAATTTGATTTTATAATTACATTGAAGTTTTTAGCTTTTGTTTTTGAAACATGAGAACTCTTATGTAGCGATGAAATCATATTTTTTAAAAGAATAATTATAATATAGGCTCTAGTTGTGTATTGGGCACTGTTTTTTAAAAATAAAAACAAAAATACTAAAGAACTTCGGATTATCAACCTAACGGTTAATAATATATTTGCATATATATATATATATATATATATCAACAAATTTTACAAACCTAAGTAAAATCCGATTGCCTAGGTTCTCTTTATGGGAAACTAGCAGGCTTCGCGCGTTCGCTATCGCTTTGCAAAGTAAAATATATTCACTACTTGAAATCTTTGAAAAAAAAAAATTTAAATAAACATTTCCTTCATAAATTAGCTTGTTATAGTTAAGGAAAGTTTTACAAATAGATGCCAACTTTTTGAAGGCCAAGTAAAATGTAAATTTCGAAAACTTTTCTGCACTATATAAGACGATATTCCTAAACAAAACTATTTTTGATATGAAAATCAAAACAATCCTTGAATTAAAAGAACAGTAATGAAGAACAGTTAATTAATGAAATATACTTTTTAAAAATCAATATGCAAACATATTATTTATCATCTTTCAGTTGCATCTCTGTCTTTGGGGAGGGTGCACTCAGGGGCGACTCCGCCAAAGAACAGAGTTGCAATTGAGGAAAATTATACTGAGAGGTGCCCAGCCCTGGGGAACAGCTGCCCGAGGTCGCGCCTTCACATTGCACCAGAGAGAAAGATCGGTGCTCACACAGAGGCTAGCGCAACTGACGGTTGCGGGGACTGTGGGCATTTTTTTGTTCTTGGCCCGGGTGTACGCGCTCGGGTACGTCACCTTAAAAAAAAGACCTTGTGCCACAACTCGTCTTAGTGGGGAAACAGAGTAAATATCTAGTGTGTAAATTACTATAAAGAAGAGTTCAGTCTTTTTTAACCATAGAATTCGTGGGGGAATTTAGCTCTGATTTCGCTATTTACTATTATTGATGACGTGCACTGACTCATCAACTTAACACGCCGTCTTTTAAAATGTCAATTTAGCTACTGATATTTTTTATAAAATGTAACCTATGAATAAGAAATTATGTTTGTTTTTATTTGAAACAACATTTTCTTTATATCTTGTATACATGTGCAATTTAATAATTAACTCCACATTGTGAAACTGAACCTCAGATACATATGCATTCGATTAATAAAATCAGTAGACTTTTTTTCTATTGGTTCTAGCTTGTCTTTTAATCGAAATCTCCAGAGATAGATAAGCAATGTGGTTGGTCCTAGTCTGGCATCTCGTCTGCAGTCGCTCTCTCACAAACATGCCGTCGCCTCCCTCTGTCTTTTCTGCAAATGCTTTCACGGTAACTGCTCCGAGGATCGACTTTCGCTAGTTCCCAGCCTGCATGAATTTATCTGGTATCACGGTCCCACCCTTTCACTGTCGAAACGGTTAAATGTGGCCGTCTCTTCTACTCCAATAGCTTCATGTCTCGCACCTCCCGACTGTGGAATTCCCTTCCTATTACTTGTTTTCCCTGATAGCTATAATCTCCATATGTAATGTCAATCGACATGTCCGATGCCCTGACCTATTCTCTGTCTTTCTCTTCATCCTTTCCTCCATCACACCTCTTTACTCTCACTCCCACTCTTTAAAGAAAATCACTATGTTGATACATGTTTTTATTGTTAATCCTGTCTAAACTTTCGACTTACATAAGCCATCATCAGAGATTACAAGTACATTACAATAAATAAAATAATAAATTATATAACAAAGGTGGTAATTTTTGTTGATGATAATATATATATATATATATATATATATATATATATATATATGTGTGTGTGTGTGTGTGTGTGTGTGTACAAAAATAAATACAGATATATGTAAGTACTTGAACTTCTCCAAACCAAACATTAAGATATTTACACTAAACTAACCAAAAATAAAATGAAAAAATTTCAGAAC